ACTTGCCAATATAAAGTTCAGCGTAACACTGAGAAACAATGTTTGTAAACGATACAAATAAATTGTAACATTGTTGAACTTTTGTTGAAATGAGTATTTTTTCCAAATTATTTTTTCCAAAATTATTCTTCCAAGATTATTTTTTCCTGTCGTCAAATTAAACCATTTAAATATAAATATTTCAAATAATAATATATAATTAAAAAAGACCACACATAAATTACAAAAAATCTGAATTCTATATCCAATTGATTCATATTAAATATAAAATAATATTAAATAAAAATAGAATGAAACAATTATAAAATGAAAAGTTATAAATCGTGACAGATTTATTGCAACATCTGGTGATTGGAAACTGTATATTGAAACAAGTGGTGTGGATTTAAACAACTAAAATACACAACTGAACATCAGGACATGCCAGTGACATACACAACCAATGTTGCAGAAGTGAAACAAACAATTGAAAATAACAAGAATGTTCTTGTAATCTTCTACTCTCCCGAGTGTGCAAAGTGCGAGGCAAGTGCGCCAATGATGGACAAACTTGATGAAAAACACACAAACATCAATTTCTTCAAAGTTGATGCGACCACAGCAACTGATTATGCTGCTGAATACTCCATTGCATCTCTGCCCACATTTGTCTTCTTCCAAAACCAGAACGTCGTGAAAAAGGCGACTGGCAGTTCTGAAGTTCTTGAAGAGATTCTCAAAATGGTGCAGTAATCAATTCACTGCTTTTTCATTTTTTATTTTTTTTTGTTTTTCAATATAATATTATAAATGTATGTTGTGTTTTCAAATGGAAGTATTGTTGTATTTATTCCAAAGTGTCAAGACTCAAAGTTTGATTGAATCTTGAAAAATGGAAGGTGTTGACGTGTCACGTTGTATAAAAAGGAACTGTGTCGCAACAGTCATCAGCAAGCATGATAATACACTTGGAAATGTTTAAAAATGTTGCAACAAAGCACAACACGCCTTTACATAAGAAGGCAATCAAAACAGTCACATACATCACACCAAACAAGCAAGACGATAAGAAACAAAAACGGTGGGCTTATCAAAATCTCAAGAACAAGAAATTAAAAGGAGAGAATCCAACACATGTTGAAATACGCTCACAATTTGCTTTCATCTGATTGCCATTCAATTTGATTGTGTCATTGTTGTTTTATTTGATAATTTAAATTCTTGAATAATATATTCTGAATTATAAAAATGAAATGTCCAAAAATAGTTAGACAGACTTCAGTGCCTCTCATCTCAGAGTGTTGTGCACGCACTCGACCCCTCAACAAGCAGTTCATCGTGCATTGCTGCGTATCTCCCTTTGGCACTGAAGTGATGAAAGTCTTCATCCTATTTTGTGAATTCTATTTGTTACATAGAAAGTGACATACTCTAAGAATGATCCTAGTAGTACGGTCTAATTCCCATTTTTTCATTCTTTATGTTTATAATTATTGCCATTTTCAATAATTATGGGTTTCATTTTTATTTAATTAATATTGATTAGTTTAATTTACTACTATTTATAATATCAATTTATAGTTATTTTAAATAACAAAATACTATATATTATAATATATAATTGTTTAATTAGTATTAATTAGATAGTAAATTAATTTTAATCAAATCAATTAATTAATAACATATTATATTTATACAATACATTGAAACTATAAAATTTCATCACCAATATCTCAAGTGTTAAAAAAAGATTTAAATTAAAACCAACCAAAAAGTAACTTAGAAGGCAATCATCAAGACAAACACAACAGCTACAACTAACACTTTCAATGTCCCACTTTTGTTCATACAAACCTTACATTCAGTGTCGCCTTGTTTGCATGGCGTATTGTAAGTGTCTTTGCACTTCTCGCATTTTCCTTCTTTTTCAAAGTACTTTTCTGGACACATGTCAACACATTTGCCATCTGACATAAAATAGTTGTCTTTGCACTTATCACACTTTTCCTTTGCTGCACACATCATGCAGTTTGCCATGCACATATCACATCTTTTGTTGTCGACATTGAAAAACCATCTCCACATTTCTCAACACACTTCATGGTTCCCTCCTCCAACATCTTTAATGCAACACACTCTTGGCAGTCAGTTGCATTGCTGCACACTTTGCAACCACCAGTGCATCTCTTGCACATCTTCTCAGCACCATCTTTGAAATACATATCTGGACAGTTGCCTTTCACACACTTTTTGGTGTCTTCAACAATCAGAGCATCTTCTTTGCAAACAGCGCACTTTCTTTCTTCGGTGCATGTTTTGCAATCATCAACACATGCAGTGCACACCTTATCCTTTGCAAAGTACGCTTCTGGGCAATCCTTTTTGCAAGTTTTGTCTGGTTGGAGATTGTCAGTTGTACATTCAGTGCACTCGGTGGCTGACTTGCATTTCCCACACCCAGCAACTGTGTTACACGCAGAACATTTTCCTTCATCTGCCAAATAGAATCCATCAATACAAGACAAACACTTTGTGTCAGATTCACAAGTCAGACAATTGCTTCCAGTTTTGCTCTTCTTACGTGTTGCAGTTACTGTGTCTTTGTAGTATCCAGATGGACATTCAGTGGCTGTTACACATTTTCCAGTGTCTTCAAGAAGCAGTGCGTTTTCTGGACAAGAAGTGCATTTGGTCCCATCAGTGCAAGTTTTGCAGTCTGGTTGACATTTTCCACAAGTGTGGTTATTTTCGTTTATGGTGTCTTTGAAATACCCATCATCACATGCATCAAAACACTCAAAGAGGTCTTCCTTCAAGTATTTATCATCCTTGCATTGGTAGCATTTATCAACAGCACACACTTTGCAATTGGGATGCTTGGACAAACAAACTGCCATATCATACTCGCAGTAATAGTTATTTCCATCAACACTCAAGAAATTGTTTGGGCATGCTTTGCACTTTGGTGTGACTTCTCCTGCCATTTTTGCAGCTGGTGAAACATTAGGAGTGACATCAACACACTGAAAGTTGGTGCATTTCGCCTTGAGAATTGTCAACTTTCCAAACACAGAG